TATCCCTCTCCCCTCTTCTCTGTAAAAAATCAATAAAATATACTTTAAAAGAAAAGAAAAGATGTTTCCTCTGCAGCTCATGCACAGAGGACATCCTCTGTTTTGTCCAGTGGGCTAGGGGCGTGTTTGGCATCCAACCCTGTGGCCAGCCCTGCATTGTGTGCGCCAGGCTGTAGGCATAGACCTGGGCCACTGCTTGGCATGGCGCAAGCTCAATCGGCCGCCATGCCCCCAGCCACTTGGCACCTGCATCCGTAGGCCCAGCGTGGCCAGGGGCATTCTGGGACCCAGCTGCTCAGGGCCTACACACGGGCCTATGGGCTAGAAGCGGCCTGGGTTCCAAGCATGTTCCCGGGACCCAGGCCTCTCAGCACCTGCATATGCAAATTAACCTTCCATCTCTGTTGGGTTAATTTGCATACTCCTGATTGACTGGTAAGCGTAGCAGATGTATGATCAATTTACATGTTTCTATTTTTCTTATGTTGATGTTTATTTTAAAAAATTTATTGTTTAAAATATTACACATATAAGTACATATATCTCCTTTTTTTCCCCCTTGACCTTCCCCAACCTCCCCTACCCCCTGTTGCATGCCCTCATCCCACCCCCAGAGTGTTTTATATCCATTGATGTGCTTATATGCATGCATACAAGTCCTTTGGTTGATCTATTTCCCTACCTCCCCAACATTCCCCAACCTTCCTGCTGTAATTTGACAGTGTTTGGGACTTTACTGACTCTGTATCTTTTTATTCATCAGGTTATAATGTTCTTTATTATCCATAAATGAGTGAGATCATGTGGTATTTTTCTTTCATTGCCTGGCTTATTTCACTTAATGCTCCCCAGATCCATCCATGCTGTCGCAAATGGTAATAATTCCTTCTTTTTTACTGCAGCATAGTATTCCATTGTGTAGATGTACCGTAGTTTTCTAATCCACTCATCTGCTGATGGGCATTTAGGCTATGGTGAATTGTGTTCTTGTGAGCATAGGGGTGCATATATCCTTTCTGATTGCTGTTTCTAGTTTCTTGGAATATAATCCTAAAAATAGGATTACTGGGTAAAATAGGAGCTCCATTTTTAGTTTTTCAAGGAAACTCTATACTGTTCTCCACTGTGGCTGCACCAGACTGCATTCCTACCAGCAGTGCACAAGGGTTCCTTTTTCTCTGCATCCTAACCAGCTCTTGTCGTTTGTTTGATTTGTTGATGGTTGCCATTTCAACAGGTGTGAGATGGTACCGCATTGTCATTTTCATTTGCATCTCTCAGATAATTAGTGACTTTGAGCATGTTTTCATATGTCTCTTGGCCTTCCTTCTGTCTTCTTTTGAAAAGATTCTCTTTAGGTCTGTTGCCCGTTTTTTAATTGGATTATTTATCTTCCTTTTATTAAGTTGTATAAGTTCCCTGTAGATGTTATCATATAGGATATTTTTAAAACTTTTTGCATATTGTTTATTTTACCTAAACAGGTGTAACCATGTAGATCTAGTTCTTTCATTTTAATCTATTGTATATGTAGTATTCTGTAATATGTATAAAGAGTAGTACATTCACTAATTTATCTTTGTATAGTGTTTTTCTTTCTTTCTTTTTTTTAAATCATCACCCGAGGGTATTTTTTCATTGATTTTTAGAAAGAGTGGGAAAAAGAGGGAAAGAGAGGAATATCGGTGTTAGAGAAACCCTGCACGAGCCTTGATGAGGGCCCACGCCGAGGAGAAGCCAGCAACCAAGCTATGTGCCTTTGACCAGAATCGAACCTGAGACCCTTTGGTCCGTAGGCTGACATTCTATCTACTAAGCCAATCTAGCTAAGGCTGTATAGTTTTTAAATATACCAGTAATTACCTGATTATTTATTTTGTTTTGGACAGTTAAGGGGTTTTTTTGTTTGTTTGTTTTGTTTTGTTTTTGTGTGTGTTTTTTTGTGTTTTTTTGTACATTTGCCAGTTTTTACTCTTATAAAGAAGACTGAAGAAAATCTTTGGGTGCAGATTTTTTGTTTAAAAAATCTGGAGAAACATAGTTTAGATATTCAAAAATGGGCCTGGAGTCTGAATGGAGAGGTTTAAATTCTGGTTTTCTCTCAAAGCTAGCTTTGTGACCTTGGGCCTAATTTCTCTGTTTCCTTATCTGTGAAATGGGCCAAATGATAGTATCTGCTCATTGAGGTAATTAATATGAGATTCTTAGGAAAGTGTCTATGAATATTAACTATTATAGTTAGACTAGAGGCCCAGTTCACTAAATTCGTGCACTTGGGGATGGGGTCCCTCAGTCAGGCCTGTGCCCTCTCACAGTTGGACATCCTTAGCACTGTTGTGGAGGCGGAGAGACGCCCACCAATGCTGCTGCACTTGCCAGCTGTGAGCCCGGCTTCTGGCTGAGTGGGCCTCCCCGTGGGAGCGCACTGACCACCAGTAGGCAGCTCCTGCATTGAGCCCCCTGGTGGTCAGTGTGTATTATAGCAACTGGTGGTTCTGTCGTCAGGCCAAAACTGGCTCTCCTATTGCTAAGAGTTTGTAGGTCAAACTGAAGGGCCCCACCGTTGCATGATTGGGGCCGAGGAGGGACGTGGCCAGCCAGGGAGGAACTGCTGGAGGGCTCCAGGGCATGTCCAACCCATCTTGCTCGGTCCCAATCAGCTGGACCACAGCAACAAGCTAACCTACTGTCAGAGAATCTACTCCCTGGTGGTCAGTGCACATCGTAGCGAGCGGTTGAGCGGCCTTAGCATAGCATTAGCTTATTACACTTTGATTGGTTGAACGGACGACCAGACACTTAGTATATTAGGCTTTTATTATATAGGAATAGAGGCCCAGTGCACGAATTCATGCATCTTGAAAGGAACTGTGGACCACGAGGCTGCAGTGGGTACAGGGGCATGCCTTGGACCAAACTGCTCCCCTGCCTGGCCTCTCCTGTCATGGCCCCTTGTCCCATGTCTGCCAGTAGCCTCATTCCTGCTGCCGCTGGCCCTACTCACACCCACTGATGGCTTAGAGCGATTGGGGCTGGAGCCATCAGTGGGAGTGAGTGGGTCCGGCTCTATCAACGGGTGTGAGCGGCAGCTGCTGCCCTGATCACACCTCAGGAGCAGAGGGAGACAGAGAGTCCATGAGGGGCAATTGGGGCTGGCAGCCACTGCTAGCACCTGCTGATGGTGCCAAGCAATAGGGGTTGGTACTAGGCACCATCAGTGTGTGTGTCAGCTCTGGTGCCAGCAGCGGGTGTAAGAAGTGGTGCAGGCCCTGATCGCCCCTCAGAAGTAGGGTGAGGTGGATAAGCCCTGAGGCGATTGGGGCTGGCAGGCGCCTTTTGCACCCACTGATGGTGCCGAGCAATCGGGGCCGATGCTGGGTGCTTGAAGTGGGTGTTAGCAGTATCTCCAGCACCAGCAGTGGGTGCAAGAGCCAGGCAGGATTGCAGTGTGTGGGAGCAAAGAATTTTCAGTAACCACCAGAGTCTCCCCTGATGGCAATGAGTGGCACTGCCTTGGTCTTGCGCCCCAGCTAACCTGCCCCACCATCCCACTGCGTCCCGCCATTTTCTGCACTCTGTCATCTGCTGCCGACACCTGCCATGTTCACCCTGGTGGTCAGCACATGTCATAGTGACCAGTTGTTCTGTTGTTGCTGTTCAGTCTAATTGCATATTAGGATTTTATATATATAGACTTTGGAGCCCAGTGCATGAACTCTTGCACCTTGAAAGGAATTGTAGGCCATGAGGTTGCAGTGAGCACAGGGGCAGGTCTTGGCCCATCCTCCACACCCCCACCTGGCCCCTTCTGCCTAGGCATCCCATCACCTGTCTGCTGCCGCCGCTGCTTCCATGGTCTGATGACACCAGCCCAGCTGGCCCCCTCTGATGGCATGGAGTGATTTTGACTGGCGCAACCAGCAGGTGTGAGTAGGGCCAGCACCATCAGCAAGTGTGAGCGGTGGTTGCTGCCCCAATTGCCCCTCAGGAGCAGCAGGAAGTGGAGAATCCCTCAGGGGTGATCGGGGCTACCTGCTGTCCCTCATAACTGCTGATGGTGCTGAGCAATTGGGACTGGTGCCGGACACCAGTAGTAGGTGCAAGCGGCAGCTCTGAAACCGGCTGTGGGTGCAAGTGGCAGCTCCACCACTGGTAGTGGGTGCGAGCTGCAGGTGCTGGCCCTGGCCACCCCTCAGGAACAGGGGGAGTTGGAGAATGACTGAGGGACAATCGTGGCCAGCAGCCACTCCTCTCACCCGCTGATCATGCCAAGCAATTGGGATGGGCGCCATGCACCAGCAGTGGGTGCCAACAGCAGCTTGGCTCTGGTGCTGACAGCAGATGCAAGCTCCTGGGGGGGCTGTGGCATGCGGGAGCAAAGAATTTTTATAACCATCAGAGGCTCGCCCTGATGACATCAACCGGCGCCACACCGTGGTCTGGTGCCCCTGCTCACCTGCTCTACCATACCGCTGCCGCAGCTGATGCCCACCTTTTTACGTGCTCTGCCACCTGCTGCCGACAACCCACCATTTCCCATGTGCTCCCCCTCATGGTTAACACACGTTAGCGACCAGTTCGGTTGTTCTGCCGTTTTGTCTATTTGCATATTAGGGTTTTTTATATATAAATTCTTGTGAGAATGGTTACAGTAACAAAGAATATGGATATTTTTAAGTCTTTTGGTAAATATTGCCAAATCTTATCTTTAAATTATAATATATTCCAAAATATGGCAGATAAACCCTCATTTTACGTATCTCTGAGAAATGAAGTCATATAAGTAGAGAGGACCTTTTTAGGAATAATTTTTATATTGGATGAGAAAATGATTTCAACTCTTCCTTTTTATATAGACAGCTATAAAGAGTATCTTATTTCAGGGAGCAAACAAAATGTTTTATTGATTCTTGGTATTGTTGGGTTTGAATTTGTAGCTGAGTAACTGGATAGGAATGTCTGACCTAATAATTACCTCTCTGCGTTCTTTTGTTTTTCAGGGCAAAGAGCAGGAACACACGTTTGTTTTTAGGCTGGACCATCCAAAAGCGTGCAAACATTTATGGAAATGTGCTGTGGAGCACCATGCCTTCTTCCGTCTCCGAGGCCCTGTGCAGAAGGGATCTCAGCGATCAGGATTTATCCGGCTAGGATCACGATTTAGATACAGGTTGATGTTAGAAGCTTTCTGCTATATCCTTCATTCTTTCAGAGAGGCCAAAACAGGCCAACCCTCATTTTAAAGATGTGGTGACTAGGGAAATAAAGTGTCTTGCCAGTGTTTTTGATTGGCCAAAATAAGACAGGAAATAATGTTAAATTTCCAGAATAGATAGGATACATTATAATGGTGTAATGGATTTTATATCCCTGTTGACCTTTATATTTTAATTAGCCTCCAATTTAAATCCATATAATAGCTTTAAGGCATCTTCATCCAACAGCTGAATACCATATAGAGAAAAGGTATCCTATGCTGAGTGGGAAATTAATTTGGGTAACATTTCTCGTCCTTTATAAACCTGAAATTCCACTATTATTCTAGACTTCTTGTTGGTTGGTTGCAAGTAGGAATATTTTGGTTTACCTGAGAGTATATTATTAATTGTGAGTTTTTATCAAACTCATGGTATGAGTTTTTATCATACTATGAGAATCAGTCAGTACAACTTTAAAGAAGAAGGGTAAATAATGTGGCAAGATAATTCTGTGGGATTCGTTTTATTCTACTGTATCTATATTAAAAGTGGGGAGGCATTTTCTTAACAATTTCAGTGGAAATTAAGGACAGTGGGACAATAGTTTTAAATATTTCTGGAAAATTATTCTGAAAACTATATTGCAATTAGAAAAAAATCTTGACTTAATTGCACAGTTGCATTGAAGAGAAGGTAGTTCCATAAAAGCACTGACATCTAACTTTTTATTATGTTAGGCGATGTGCATGCTTAAGAAAAAATTATATTTAATTTGTGTGTTGCATATTTTACACAAACCTAAGTGGAGAGAATGATGTCACGAAGGAGACATCAAGACTATTCCTAGCAGCACTTTCCTCAGGATGAAATTCAGGGTGGTTAAAGAAGAATCCCAATGTATACTTTCTCCCATTTATGTGTCTGATTACTGTAGGTCTTAAATTATCTTATTCCTATTAATATCTTACTTATTTTAGTGGGAAAACTGAGTATCAGACCACAAAAACCAATAAAGCAAGAAGATCAACATCCTTTGAAAGAAGACCCAGCAAACGATATTCTCGACGAACTCTACAGATGAAAGGTAAATGCTGCCCTGTTTCAAGGATTGTTCGTTCTTGGCAGTTCATCGTGTGGATGGTACTGGTCTTGTTTACTTGGGAGGATGTTGTCTGACTCTGAAGTTTGTTAGAGTCAGCTAAAGTACTCTTCATTTATTGAATTTGATTCAGGCATAATCATTTTAATAAAATAAAATACAAAAGGAAAAAGCCTACATGTTTGCTGAGATTAAACTTTATCTTAATCCCAACTTAAACACTGTACCAAGTTTGTGTTCATTTTTTGTTCGTATTAACTATTTTAGTTATTCTGCAGAAAAACATTTTCCTTTTCTTTTTGTCTTATAGATCTCACTCATAATAATGTTTAAAATTCCCTTAAGAACTTTTAAAAACATTGATAAGTGATGAATAAATTTTAAGTAAAGATTATGTCAGATGGTATTACAATATTATTAAGGATTCTGTGAAATAAGTTATTAAATAATAAATTTAATCATCACTATATTTACCATAGATACTTGCAAATTCATAAATGTTACTTCTAGTAAATTACTCTAATTATATAATAACAAGCATGGTTTACTTTGACAAAGAAACTAAAACTTGTGTTTGGTTTGAAGTTTAAGTTTGTAGTAAGATACAGATTGAGCCCTGGCTGGTGTGGCTTAATTGGTTGAGCATCGTCCCATGCACTGAGAGGTTCTGTTCAGTGCCCGGTCAGGGCATATGTTGTGGGCTCAATCCCCAGTAGGCCATATGCAGGAGGCAGCTGATTGATGTTTCTCTCTCACTGATGTTTCTCTCTCCCTTTTCCTTCCCCCTTCTCTCTCACACCAATAAAAACATATTTAAAAAATAAAATATAGACTGAATTTTAAGTATGTTCAATATTGGGGTCATCACCAATTGTCCAGAAACAATTGCCCTGATCTAATGTTTGGCAGTGTCAATTTTTAAAAAATATGATTTATATTTATAATTTTATATGTATGTCTATACATTAAATAATATATAGCTATTAATGAAGCCATTTCAATTTGTGATGGTTTAAAACTTGTAAGTTACCTGTTACTTTGAACTGAAAATGCTCCATTGTACTCAGCGCACTCTAGAAGGCTTGCTGATGGTTTTGTTTTCAAAGAAGAGAGAAATGCTTATTTTGCTACTTAAAAAATGGAAGTAATTGCCATATTGATTTTAATGATCTGAAATGAAGGTTTTTAAATCTATGGTTGGGAGCCATAGCTTACAATACATTTAGTCCAGACTAGCTTTTATGAACAGTGATGCAGTTTACCATGTAAGAGGAAAACTAATGGAACTTTTTTTTTTTTTTTTTTTTTTTTTTTTTTTAATACTGTCAGCTGGTCCAGCAAAACCTGAAGAACTCAGGTGGGTAATTTCTTGCATCTTAGGAATTGACATAGAATTTTTAAAATTTATGTAGTTGCTATCATTAATTGAACAAGTATTTTGAAGATCTATTAAAGTTTTTAAATTGTCACCAAGCATTTGGGAATAGACACATAGTGCCAGACACAAAAAAATAACACAGTTTAAAGAAATAAAAAGTTGGGTGGGTGTGGATGTGCTATTATTTATAATGAGGATGATATACATTAGTTATTGGTATGTGACTGAGGATTTAAAGGTGAATAAATTACGGTCCTTGCACACAATGCATTCAAAGAAAGGTTGATTTGCAGATAAGCAATTAATTTTATTTGTGGGATAAATTCCACTTTGTCATGGTGTATAATCCTTCTTCTATTACATGTTGCTGTATTTGATTCACTAATATTTTGTTGTGGAGTTGTCTTTATTCATCTAACAGTGTTTCCCAAACTTTTGACATATGTGTACCCCTTCTATAATTTTCATAACGCTGAGTACCCATCGTACTCATGAGAACGTATAATTAGGTGCAGCTAAGCACGGTGCAGTGCATATTCCCACCAAACTCCAGTGCATTGTGTACCCCCACCAAACTCTTCCCGTACCCCTGGGGGTACGCGTACCACACTTTGGGAAACACTGATCTAAAACACTGATCTAAAATAAATGTCTTCACCTGTTTTGGGTATCAGTTATCTGGCTTCACCAAATTGAGGTGGGAAATGTTTCCTTCTCTCCTATCTTTTGGAAAGTGTTTGTAAAGAATTTGGTATTCTTTAAAATGTATGGTAGAATTCACCATTAAAACCATCTTGCCTGGTTTTTTTCTTTGTATGAAGTTTTAAAATTTCAAATTCAATCTCTTGTTATTGGTCTATTCAGATTTCATTTTGAGCCAGTTTTGAAGCTTATGTTTTTCTAGAATTTTTTCAGTTCATTTAAGTTATGTAATTTGTGGCACACAGTCGTTCATATTATTCACTTTTCCTTATTATTATACTAGAGGCCTGTTGCACAAAATTTATGCACGGGTAGGTTCCTTAGGCCTGGCCGGTGCTCAGGACCAATCTATGGGAAGACTGGCAGGGCGATCGGTGGTGGGGAGAGGGGGCCTGCAGGCTGGGAGCAGCTTCTGCAGGCTGGGAGCAGCCCCTGGTGGTCAGTGCACATCATAGCAACCTGTTCTGCAGTTCGGTTGATTTGCATATTATGCTTTTATTACATAGGAAGGTTGTTAGGGATGCCCCATTATTCATTTTTTAAAATCCTTACCTGAGGATATGTTTTTCTTGATTTTTAGAGAGAGCGAAGCATCGATCAGTTGCCTCCATACATGCTCCAACTGGGAAACAAACCCAAAACCTAAGTATATGTTCTGACTGACAATCAAACCTTCAACCCCTTGGTATGCCAGCCAATGCTCTAACCACTGAGTCACAGCTACCAGGACAAGTTTGTCAGTTTTGTTAATCTTTTCAAAGAATAGCTTTTGGTTTCATCAATTTTTCTCTATAATTTTATATAAATCAATATATATATATTGATTTCAGAGAGGAAGGGAAAGGGATAGAAAGAGAGAAACATCAGTGATGAGAGAGAATCATCAGCCGGCTGCTCCTGCATGCCCTGCTACTGGGGATTGAGCCCGCTACCCAGGCATGTGCCCTTGGCCAGAATCAGACTTGGGATCCTTCAGTCTGCAGGCCGATGCCAAACTGGCTAGGGTTATTTTATAATTTTTTACTCTGATAGATTATTTCATTTCCTCTGCTTGCTTTAGGGTTAATTTGCTCCCTTTTTCTAGTTTCTTAAAGGTAGAAGATTAGATATGAGATCTTTATTATGTTTTTTATTTTTTTGGTTAATCCTCATCTGAAGATATTTTTCTATTGGTTTTTAGAAAGAATGGAAGGGAGTGAGGAAGAAGAGAGAGAGAGAGAGAGGTGTGTGAAAGAGACACATCGATTGGTTGCTTCCTGCAAGAGCCCCAATCGGGGCTAGGATTAAATTGCAACCCAGATATATATTTGTGTAGACCTTGTTCTCATACTTTCCTTTATTTCTGTAGATTTGATTTCTTATTTTCTGAGCATATTTAAAATAATTGATTTAAAGTATGCATTGCTGAGAAAGAGTTCATTTTTTTTTGGCTGCACCAGCCTGGAATAGAGCTTCCACACAATGAGCTTGGGGAAATGGGAAAGGGGAGCAAATTGTGGCTAAACTGCCAGGCTTGGCTCTTGAGAATTAGAAGATTTTCTTGAATAAATGTTTCTCCACTTGATATATGCCTTTTGATGATTTAAACAAAAATAATTGTCACTAGCTAAATCTTTGTTTTACTGGGGAGAGGAAGCTCAACCCATCATTCTAGAAGTCCTACTTTTGATGAAGCAATAAATTCTAATAGTATATATTACATTATATAGTTTCAAATAATGCTTCTCAACCTTGAGGTGCATCAGTTTTCTGGAATCCCTATTAAAGTATCAGGTTCAGGACATTAAAATATATTTCTTTTTAAAATTTGTGTACAGTGAGTATGGCCAACCTCACCTTGGGATGACTTTAGTTGTTGGGTTTTTTTGTTTGTTTGTTTTTCACCTAGAAAGCTATGCTGTGATTATTGATTCATCACAAAAGCACTCTGCTTTTTGAAAGGTATCCCTGAAATTTTTTTAGCTGTTGATTATTTTGTTTTCCTTGGAATTACATATAACCAGTGCTGTCAAGATAATGGTAGAGAAATGTTAGAGGTGTTCTGTATTTTTAAAACTTTTTGAAATTTTTTTTGTTTTGTTTTGTTTAAGAGATCATGTCTTGCTTTCTTGAAAGGGAAGCTGGGACAGAATATTAGATCTTAAAGAACATAACCTGGTGAAGTCAGCAGAAATATAAACAAAACATTCAAGCAATGATATGTAGTTGAAAAATTAAGTCTTTTATTATGTAAGAGTTTATCATCCTTTACAAATTTTTTGATATACACATTTCTGACTAGAAAATGAGTGACTGTATGGATTTCTAAAATTAAAATTAATTTAACTTTAATAATGAATTTTTTTTTCTCGAGTAATGAACATATTAGAAATGGGATATTTAAGTGGTGATACTTTATTACTTTTTTATTAGAATAAACTTTTAGAAATGAAAGTGGTCGTTTGTGGGGGAGGAAGAGGCATTCAGCTCTCCTGACTGAAGGTTATTCAGCATTACTCAGTAGAGCTTGAGAGCCTGAGCTTGGACTGGCATGAATGCCCTTTTAGTCTTGCCCTTGTAGTTCTGTTGGCATGAATAATTTTGCTTCAGTGAACCATGGAAAACAGTACTGTTTGAAAAAGCAAAACTATTTGACCCAAAAAGTTTCTTGACCTTGTACTGTGCCGGTTTGAATAACAAATTTTTAAATTGGCTCATGTTAGTCATTTTACTTGTACTATTTTATCTTCTATTTTCTTGTGAGTCTTGACTAACAATATGAAGTATCTTAAGAGGTGACATTTTGAATGATCACATTTTTTCTACAGGCTTAGCATAGAATTTTTCAGACAAAAAAGAGAAAAAGAAGGTGAGGAGAAGATGAATAGAGGTGGTATAAAGCAAAAGGTATCAGTTATTGCAGGTGATCCTTTAAAAGGGGAGCTTAGACTGTCAGTAGTGAGAAGTGCTCCTACTTTTACATTAGTGGAGGTGAAAGAATATAATTATGAGAAAATAGTACTTTCAACATTTCAAACTGTTTGAAAACAAAGAGCTCTGATCAGTCAACGTAAGTTATTTAAGTACTTTTTCCTCATGTTGTTATTCATCTTTTATCCTTCACTTCCTGGGGTTATTCCCAGTTTAAGGAAAAGCTCCAGAATTTCTGTACCAATCAGGTGGGATCAGATTTCATTAATATTTGGGATTATTGGTTACTTAAACCAGCATATAATGTACTCTGAAAAGAGCAACATTAGTAGTAGTAAAAATAACTCATGTCTGACATGTATAATTTTACTTTTGCCTTGGCAACAGATCTACATTAAACAATATTTTTTGTTGTTTTTTCCAGTTCATTTTATCAGTGTTCTTTGTGCTTTGTTATTAATTAATTTAATATTCCTAATAATTTCATGCAAATGAGGAACCTGAAATTCTGAGAGTTATAGCTAGTGCTGTGGCTTAGATTTGAATCCAGGCAATGGTAGTGCAAATTCTGGTGACTCAACTTATATTAGAGATGTAATTAATTTTAAAACAGCACGAAATGGCCCTGGCCGAGTGGCTTTGTTGGTTAGAGCATCATTCTGTCCACCTTTACATCCTGGTCAGGGCATATACTTAGGTTGTGGGTTTTATCCTGGTTGGAGTGCATATAGGAACAACCGACCAATGTTTCTCACATTGATGTTTCTCTCTGTCTCTCCCCCTTCCTCTCTCTAAAATTAATAAAAAAAATATCCTCAGGTGAGGATTAAAAAAACAAACAAACATAAAATAACTTACTTCATCACTCAGCTTTTTAGCAAGACTTTTTTATTTGTGAGTTCTTTTTATTTTTTAATCCTCACTGGAGGATATTTTTTCCCATTGATTTCTAGAGAGTGAGTAGTAGGATGGGGGGGAAGTGGGGGAGGGGAGAGAGAGAGAGAGAGAGAGAGAGAGAGAGAGAGAGAGAGAGAGAGAGAGAGAGAGGGAGGGAGAGAAAATTCAACGTGAAATAGACACATCGATTGGTTGCCTTCCACGTGCACCCCTACCAGGGCTGGGGAACCTGCAACTGAGGTATGTGCCTTTGACCAAGAATCAAACCTGCAGCCCTTCAGTCTTCGGGCCGATGCTGTATTCACTGGCTAGGGCATGTGAGTCCTTTTTTAAGTCCTTTCATCATCAGATAGTTTTTGTTTTGCTTTTAATCCTCTAAGAAAGGCTCCTGGATGCTGCAGTCAGAGTTTGTTTCTGATTGATAAGCTTTGCCTATTTCCTTTCATTAGAAAGACATCTTGAGTATTGTTATTGGGAAGTCTGTGCCAACCTGATACTAATAATAATTGGATTTTAAATCTCCTTTGGATAACTGAAATATTCTTTACTTGTCCTCAAGAGTCAATAGTTTAACAATAAAGGGCTGAACGTATTTAATTCTGTATCATTTTTCTGGAACACAGTGATCATTAAATCTTATTTTTTAAATCATTTTATGTTATTTTTGCATGAATATGTGTTTAAGAAGCATTCTTTTTTTTTAATTACTTTTTTAGACTCCTCACTTGATATTTTTCCCATTGATTTTTAGAGAGAGTGGAAAGGACAGGGGAGGAGGAAGAAAAGAGCGGGAGGGGGGAGGGAGAGAAACATCAATGTAAGAGAGACACTGATCCCAACCAGGGCCAGGGATCAGACCTGAAACCCAGGTACTGCCCTTGAACAGAATCAAATCAGAGACCGTTCAGTGCACAGACCAACACTAATCACTGAACAGCACTGGCACTCATTAAATCTCTCATTACTTTATCATTTTCAAGGAACTTCTTTAATAACTTTGAACAAAATTTTTGTTGCCTTAGTTAAATTCTTTACTTTAGAATACTAATTATGTTTATGCTAGAGGGTCTGAAAGTATCCTCTCTCCCCTTCATTTTATTGTGGTATTATTTCCTCTTTGAGTTCCTCATTGAATGTTCTTTTTTTTTTTTTTTTTTTTTTTGTTTTTTTTAATAGCAGCTGTTCTGAGTTTTCCTATTTATTTTGTTGAATTATAGCTTTAGGTTTTTTAAGTGCTTTGTGAGGGGCAGTGAAGAAAATAAGTGAAATTAAAAATTTAAAAACAATAAATCATTTGGAGGGAAAGGTATACAGAGAAGTTTCTAACTTTATACTGAGGCCTTTTGAGTTATAAAATGCTGAGCTGTTGCTGACACTGAAAAATCTTGAAAGGGTAGGACTATACCAAAGAAGTGACAGATACGTTTATGTAGGTGTTGGTGCTTAATGCCTTGAATTTAAAGCATCTTTATTTTGTCATCTTTGGGATATATTGTCCAGTGAATAAACAAGATTAGTGGTATATCTAAAATACATTTAATACATCTACAAAAAGCACAATTAAAATACATGGAAATACCAAATAAGCAGACTATAGACAAGCAAGTGTTTGCTTATAAAAGCAAATGTTTTCTGGGCACCTTACATTTTTTGTTTTAAGCAACAGTAATTTTTTTCTTTATTTGAAACAAAATTAATGTGTTTAAAAATATAGCTACTTTTATTGTCATCTGACAACATGAAGCCCTGTACCAGTATATGATTTTTAATAGATTTTAATGGATTTCCCCCCTTACAGTGTTCACAGTAATGTTTCAGCTCAGAGTAATGACTCTCAACAGGTAAGTCTTCTTAATGTTAAGTTTCTAAAGCACTAAAACACTGTACTTAATTGTTATAGAAACTAATATTTTATTAATTGAATTTCATAGTGGTATAACTGGAAGAATTTTTTATTTTATCTCTAAAGTGGCTTAGTAATGTGAAACCCTCTTATTTTCTCTAAGGTGTTGTGAATAGAACAGGTGCTCTGTAAAACTTTCTGTTTCTGTAAATCCTATAAAATGAATCAAATGTTAATATTCAGTTAGATTACTATCTATCTTCAAGGTGACATATAACAGACAAGCATTTATTTACATTATATTTGTTGACTATGTAGATAGTATTCCATTTTAATGTTCTTTTAATTGGTGAAAGGATCCTTTAAGCAAAATAAATGATTTTTATAACTTGTGTCCAAAGGCTTGGGGTATGAGATCTACTCCGCTGGTGACTTCTTCCATTCCCTCTGGCCCCTTGCTGGTGGAGACGGGGAATCTTCCAAGGAGTCCTGGAACAGACCAGCATGACAGGAAATGGTTTGTTAGCTTCTTAAGCCAAAAGAAAATATTGCTTGCTTAATGGTATTATAAGTTTCCAGCTATAACTGTAGAGTACTTTAAATGATTGAAAGCAAACTATTCATATTTGTAAGCTGAAAAGAGGCATACAATTAAGCAGTTACTGGGATGGGAAAAATAAGAGCTTGGATGAAGAAGCTCGGGATTGCAGTTGTCTAAATGGAGACCACAGACAGCTCTCCTCATTTTGGTTAGCATGTTCTGAGAGTTTGATGGGGGGGAGAGGGAGGGCGGTCTGTTAAAAAAGATTTCAATGATAGTCAATAGGACCTTTTCCTAAATCCTATAAGGAAAATATGTTTGTTACATGTTGTTCCATACAACATGGTGCTACCCTTTGGATGTGTTTTCTTCTTTAAAGACTGAAGAAAAAGGCATAAGGGAAACATGATTATAGTCCAATAAAACAAAGCATGAAATACTCCTGATGAAAGGGAAGAGATTTCATTTGTTTAGATTTCCAGGGTTGTTTGTTTATTATTATTTTTTTTAGGTTAATAGTAAATATACAAATATGGATACTTTGTGGCTTATTGGGTTAATCTGTGGGTTTCATTTTCCCCCAATTAAATGTATGTGGCTTGGAGATGCTCTTTGGATTATCTGACCGGTCACGTTGATTGAATCATCTTTACAAATTTTGTGTCTATTTATGAAATGAACTTTAATTCATAGGATTTTTCTCTCTTTTTTTCTTGCTCTTAGTTTTACTACCTGAAATCTATTGAATTTCTGTGGTGATCTCAAGGTTTTGGTCAGCTTTCTGTGCAGCCAGTTCTTCCTTCATGGTGGTGGGTCCACAGTGGTTGGTGATCATTTTCAGACTTTCCTATGTAATTGTGTTTCGCTGTTATTTTGGCTTAACTAACTGCAAGGTGCTTTGCTCTTGATGGTTGGGCATATTTTTACAGTTTCAAATAACCTGATTAGTTTCTGAAATTGAGGGAGTCTACCCTTTATTTTTTATTTTTTATTTCTACTTGAGAGTGTGGTGGGGGGGGGGCTTTTGTGTGTGTGCACGTGGGCACAACACACTTAAAGGGTGAATAGTGAGGCTTCTAAATGTCAAATTGTAATTTTTAGTTTTTTAAGCCATTAAGAAGAGTTTTTTTCAATATCTTACTGAAAACAAGGCTCCAACAAGCAGCTATGTTTCATCTCTTTGGTGTTACCACCAAGGCAAGAGAACGTAGTGCTTCTGGGATTTCAACTATAAAAGAATTTTCTTAATACATGCTTACCTTTTATATTTGTGTGGAACATGAGCCTGATTTCTTTGCATCCTGTATTGTAACATTAAATATTGAGGTGTCCAACTTTTATGCATACATATTTAAATCTAGTTAATTAGTTCCTTTGGTGCAGCCTTTATAAAGAGAGAATATTGAATCTGAGCATATTGACTTAGAAGAAAAATGAAAAATTTGGAGCTGTGTGTTTTTTATGTAATTGTGCTGTGATCTCTTCTGCTAAAATGGAGTAAAGTGGTGATCCCTAAAACCTAATCAGCCTCAGTGTATGTCAACAGTGGCACAAAAATAATGCAGAACCGATGTGTCTTGGTGTTAATGGACTCCCTAGCCCTAATTTAAAATGCATTCCATATTTCTTTCTTTGTTTCTGCATGCTTTGATTCTTAATACTTTTAAATGACTATAAAAGTCCTCCTTTAGAAAGTGATACATTAGTAACATTTAGAAATGCTCCCTAGGTTTGAACAGTTGGGCAGAATAATGGACTATTTTCTGTTTCTGGCCGACAAGTTTTAACTAATTTCATTTAAACCTACTCCCTATTCATTTCTGTAGTTTTTTCTTCCCAGTGTCTTGTAAATGACACCATTATTGCAGTGAATGATTTAGCATAGCATTAACTTAGAATTATCCAATAAGTATCACCCTTTGAGATACAATTTATCTTAAATCTTCAAACCATTTATAAAAATTTGAATAATATTTGGAAAATCTTGCATATATAGGGAGAACATAAACTTAATTTAATGTCCTAAATTTTCAAAGACCCTATATTGAGGGTCATGAATTTTATGGGTTATATCTAATGAACAAATTTATTCCAGTTGAACCGAAGATGATTTTATTGTAAAAAACTTTTAGCCAGTTTTTTCCCCCCTAGTTTTCCTATGGAAATGTAATGAATATTCATATTTTGGTTGAGTTAGAAAAAATACTATATTCAAATATCTTTATATGTCTTTTATAATTGGGGTTATTTTTTTTTTTCTTTATAGTTATCTTAAGTATATGCTGCCCTTTTTGTCATGTCATAAAACCCTGATTTTCTAAACTTTGGTAAATGTTTTCTTTCTACTGGAGGACTCTGATCATTTCTAACCAGGAACTGCTTGTGTGCATGTTTCACTTTCATAGTTCTCTAGGCCTGTTCTATAGCACTGTGTGTAAAAGGCATCTAATGCAGTTACTCAATCTATTTCTTGGAGGGGGCTTCTAATATCACGTTATCTGTACCTATTGAATTTCATTCTCAGCTCCTGTGAACTTTGATTATAGAAGAAATATAAGTTCTCTTGTTAGTTGGGAACATCGATGTAAAATTACATAGCCTCTGAGCATAGATTTAAAAACAAAAACAAAAAAACACCTCATTCTGAATTTTATTTTGTGGATTTCACTTAATTTGTGAGATCACAAGTTTGGGGAATAATTTTCACAATTGCACTATGACATATTTTAACTAAGTTGAGTATAAATATTATTTCTTATTAGAACCTCAAACAGCATTTCTGCCTTGATTTTGATAGCAACATCAAGGATAGATACAGAGTGTCTTGCTCTCTATGAAATTTTTTCTTTATTTAATTCACTTAACAAACTGATTAATTATACATATTTTCATATTTACATTTTCCACTACATGTAACTTTGTGGGATTTCCCACCTTCGTTATTTTTTAATGTGTTTGCATGGAGATGTTGATAACTACTTGTAGCAGTGGTGCATGCTGGTCATTCTCTTTTATTACCTCTTACTCATCAATTTTCTCCTATTCCTATTGACTAACTGTGCTCCCCTCCCACTCCCCAACCATCCAGGCTCTCTGCTGCCAGTGACTGCTGCCAACGTGGTGGAAACCAGTGGAACACAAGGGCCTTATCCCCGCCCCAGCCTGTTCATAGAAACTACACTGACTTTGTCCATGAGCACAATGTGAAGAATGCAGGAGTCCATCATGATGTTCGTTTTCCCAGCCATGCAGCCATGACTGATATATGAGTGTTAAGCCTCTTAGGCCTTGGGACTCTTTGTTGTGCAAGTTGATGGTATTTGTTCTCTGGTGTTTATTGGGGACTGATCATATTAGGAGAATTTGGGAGAAGTTATTTTATATTGAGCTACTAGTCATGTGTTGGTGTTTGGAATGGAATTCTATGGAAGGGAAAAGGAACTGAAGAAGCTATATGCCATCAATGATAATGACATGTTTTTGTGTTGAAAGGGCATGTATATCATTGTAATTTTAGAAAGGTTTTTCATGATTTTAACATATTAACGTATCACTCATAAGATGTCCAAGAGAAGGTTTGTGTTTGTGAACAAGCTGCCCATTTTCACCCCATTCCTTGCCATCTAAATTTAAGTTAAAAGAATTGGACACATTAAAGGCACACAAAAGGAACCATGTTCTGGCACAATATATCAGTCTTTAGTGATTTTTTTTCCCCAAAATGACCATTACTCATGCCTTAATTTTGTTGTGTCTAAGATTTTATACTTTCAATTAATGTTTTTATTTAAAATACTTATTTTTTAATAAACAGGTATTTTAATTTATTGAAAGGTCTAGAAATTACATTAGTAATGTGAATCATGTAGGGAGATAACTAAATGGTTACTTTTGCATCATTAACTACTTAACCAATGGTTAACTGAATAGTTCTTTTACTACTGAATGGTGGTATAAAATGGAAATTTTATTTACTTTTGTCTTTTCAATTTTCTCTTTTATCTCATGTATCTGAAAGATTTCCCAGATTTGCAATAACCATATAATCTGGCCCTCTAAAACCTTTAAAATAAAAGTCTGAAGCCAAAAGTATATCACTTTTAAATGGATTGGATATATTACTATATTTGATCCTTTATGAACTTCAAAGTACAATTATTCAAGCTTTTTATTATAATTCATAGAGGCAAATTAACAAAAAAAAGTACATTTCTGATGTAATGGGAACTGATGTAAGGGAAGCAATTCTTTTATTTTTTAACAGTTTTTAATTTTAACAAAATTTTTAAACTTTTAAACTATGTATATAGCAATTTGAAGATATATTATAATTTGAGAATTATAATACTTCAAGATAATGAACTTCATTTTAAACAGCCTAACTGGTTTACCATCCTGCTCACTTCAGAGGTCAGTCTTCTCCCTCTTTGTTAGGGAAGGTAAAGCTCTCAGAGGGCTTTATTAGTGGCCTGTTGGTTGCAAATATAATATAACTTGTTAATAGAAGACATAAGTTAGAAGAACTAAATAATATTTAGGTAATGAAATGTATAGGCAAGTTTGAATCTGTGAGTTTATTACAATCATATATGTATATGCCATGGATGCTCCAAGTATTCTATGGAGCATCCTGTAAATATGAACAGATTCATGTATTTAGCCTCGCTTTACTGCTTAAGTTTGTCATCATTTAGGTTACTTAAAAATAGCCACTAATCCTATTTTAGATTATGTAGTGCAGATTATTATCTCTTAAAAGAAAGGAATTTGAATCATAACATTTTAAGTACTGAAAGCCTGGTTTGTGCCATTCAAGAAAGACTTCATGGGTGTGAATGTGATTAAGAACCTATCATTTCTATCGATATAAGCCACAGGTATAATAATAACAAAACTTGTCTGGCCTTTTAGAAAGTCCTAAGATTTCACTTCTCTGACTTTAAAATTAATCATCCTTGTAGGATTCTTAGTAGAAT